TTAAAGAGAACTTGCTTTCATGTAATATATTTAGGAACTGGATATAAACTTTTTATTCTTACTGACTACTGCATTACTAGCTGATCTAGACAGGATTGTTGTTTTTTAATTATCCTTTAGCAAATGTTAAAGGGGGTATAAGAGGATTCTTCTGGAGAATAACTGCAAATTAGCATTTGCTTTTTTGTGTGTGCTAAAGATTGAGTAGATGAATTTTAACAGGCCACTGAAAGCAAAATTCCCATTGCCTTTGCTGCCTTAAAGACCTAAAGCAAGTCTTCTGCTATTAGTCAATCTAGCAAGTGAGATTATTTGAAAGAAGGAAAGGACAGCGTAGCTACACATTCACACATTCTAAGCTAGATGGAAGAGTCATAGACATAGCAGCAATATAAGAATCAAGAGGTGGAAAGACACCTTGGCCGCCTAATTTCTTGTTAGTGAAAATGAGGTTGGCAAAGTCCCAGGCACCTCAATATTTCAATATTTGCTGCAAGAATAAAACACTTCCCTCCCGCCCCAGAAAATATCCTTTCATGGGTATCAATGCAGTTCAACAGTAATTTTTAAAAATACCCCAGTGACAAAAAATTGGGATATTTAATATTTTGCAATGTTTACATTATCTGCTAATATTAGTATATGTAAAAAGCTGTACACAAATGAAGGTGCAAAAATTCCAATATTCAGCTTCCTTTGGTCATTTTCTTAAAAATGAACATAGTGCTCTTTAAACACATCTAGTCCACACACCCCCATATGACACATACAAAGCAACAGGCTTGCAGTAATAATTGCAGCCAACAAAAGTATAAGTTATTGATTGGCATATTAGGCACCCAACTCATGATTGTTAATTTTAACTACCATTAAAATGTTAACTATATTTTATAAAAAGTTAACTACATTTTAACTACAGTGGTTTATGCTTCCTATGCTTCAAGCTACAAGTGGCACTTAAAATAGGTTGATGGGAGAAATCTATGAAGGCGACACTGTACACCCAGCTCCAAACGTATTACATCTTCTGGCTATTCTGCCTCGTGTACATGGAAGCCCTCGCCCCTGAATAACTGCTACAGTAAATGATAATTTCCACTAAGTAAAGCATGTGAGAAAGTTATGAAACAGACATGTGTTCAACAATTTACCATTCATTCACGGCTATTTTAAAGTATTTGAAATAGAACTTTGATACCCACGACATGTGGTGGGTGATCCAATATTTCATTGATGGTAAGGTATCTTAACAGTTATACTGTTAAGTACACAATGAACCACTTAGTCCTAAGCACATCTACTATGATGTAAGTCTTACTGAACTCAGATATTTCTACCATTAGTATGTTTAGGCCACTGTATTTTATGCTGAACATTCCAAACATTTAGCTTGTATTGGGAACAGTAAAATAATGCCACCCTCTCAAGCTGATTGCTAAAAGGGAGATTCCTTAAAGACCTTGTGTTCTATACTTTATGCCTGAGCAAATGGTGTGTAAAATTCTCCCAATTTCAGAACAGAATGTTTTTAATTTGATTTATTTAGTCTGAATGGATCCTGAAAATAGGAAGCAACAAGGTATGCCTCATACTCATTTACAGATTGGCTTTTAAAAATAGCATTAAATAGGGATGGTATTTTTTTAAAAAAGAAAGAAAAGAAAAAACACAAGCACACCTAGACATAAGGCTCAATGAAATTCAAATAATTCCATCCTCATTTCATGAAACATACCACACAATCATCACTGCTTGGACAAAACATTCAAATTAATGCTCTAAACGAAAAGGGATTCTTTTCATTTTAAAACCATGAGACAATACAAAATATTTTGGGACATAACACCCATCTGAAATGTGTAAAAGAACACATTCCATCTCATTTTAAAACCTCTTTTTTAACACAAGGCAATGCTGTGCTTGTTTTGTGCTAGAACAATTTATAAATAGTTACATATGCAGTATCTCCAAGTTTAGCTTGCATATCATTCTAGAAATCTGACAAGTTCATACTGAATAGTGTTGCCTATATATATGTTCTGTTGTGTGTATGGTAAAAATGCCAGTAATTGTTTGTTAGTTTGTTTTTTAAATCATACTAGATGAAGAATTACCATTGGGAGACAAAGTACAACAATTTTAATCAATAGGTGTTGATAAAATATTTACTTATTTAAAATGCATTTTAATACATGCATGTAACCATGAAACAAGCATATTAAAGAACATTTACTGGTGGGAAATTTATAAGGCAAAAGATTAACAACAAAAAGTAGGCATTTCTAAACAGCTGATTATTATTATATATTCCTGAAAATTCAGAAGGTTTTCCCCCCTCCCCTAAATACTGTACTTGTAAATTGTATATCATTTTGAAAGAATGAACAAATGAAAGACCCTTCCAAATACGAGAATGAAAAGGTCCAGGGATTGTTTTGCTTTTAGTTGCAATTATTATTTGGAACCAGCTCATCAAAAGATTTTGATTTGTTGGCCTCTGCTTTCTGGTTTAACTACATCTGCATTTAATTCTTTACTTGGCAACATCCTGGATTTGATTTGTCTTTGTTTCCTTCCTGTACTAGAAGAGGGGATTTCTAGTTATTATTATAAACAATCTAACACATCTTCAAGCAGCACCTGTAACTTCCCTTTTCCTTTTTTAAATAGGCATCTTTCAGCTTTCCTGCTGGTTTATTCCCCAGCCAAAACCTCATTTCTCTGCCTTGAAACAAAGGATTATTCTTGCAGAATACTTTGGAAATGAAACAGCCTGTGTTGTGGACAGAATCCATAAGGTCTACAGTACTTCTTTCTGTTCAAAGAAGCAACGGTCTTAAGAGACTGTAACACCAAGCCAATTTGTTTCTTCTGTTCAGCTCCCTCTCTTGAGCAGCTTATCTTTTTTGCATCTCTGGTCCTTGCTCCCATTTTTCTTTCCTCTAACCATAAATGCAGCGGCCAAGTAATCAGCCTGCCTTAGACACACATTTCTGCACAGTGCAAGTCCCATTAAAGTTTTAGGCATTCAACAGCAGATGACAGGATACATCTGTGGTAAACCCAAACACTAACCCTCCCACTAAACCAAACAAAAGTAGGGCTGGAAAATTATGACAATTTTTTTTTCAGGCTGGGCAGTTTTGCTTTTGGAGGATGCTTTTGCTTCAGAATGGCAAAGAGCCAGCTCAAGGAAATGTGATGGCAATGATGGTGGAATCCACCAGCTTGAGCAAGGCTTCATTTAACCATTCTAAAAAGGTGAGATTCCTAGCCCAGCTCTCTTCGTTAACTTTCTCCTTCTAGCCATGAGTCCAGCCCCTTTTGAGCTTACACTCGGGGAGAGGAAGCACACAGAGAGATCTGAACCTCACTGAACCAGCTAGCTAATTGGTGAACTGCACTTATAACAATCCCTGTAAAGTCCTCCTTCCACACCAACTGAACCAGCACAGTACACTTTCTATTTTCCAAGAATGCAGGCTGCTAGCATTGCTCTCTCTCTCTGTGTCCGTGTGTTTTACCTCTGCATAAAATGTGTTACAGTGAGTCATTCACACTAAGATGCTTAATGATGGTGGCTGCCTAGATTTAAGAACTAAAGTGTTTCTGAGGCAACACAGATCAGTCACCTCAATTCTTACTTTAACTCTCCCTGGCAAAAAAATCAGACATTGGCCTATTTATTTATTTTCTGCCTTCGTTTCTTGATGTGAACCTCTTGCCCTGCTCTGGGCAAGTTTTCTGCTAATCACTGCCTGCTGCTTTCAAGATGCTATCCTGCACTCAAGCAAGGCAGCAAAACGGAAAGCAGACCATAATTAGCAGCACTCGCCGATGCATCGCCTAACGAGATCATCGCTAAATCTGAGAACACCCGGCTACCTCGCATAGCATGTTAGAACAGGGGAAAAGGGAGAGGGAGAGAGAAACCCACCAACTGCTCTGGTTTTGCACATGCGTGGATGCTTGCAAAACCCCACACACACGCGCAAAACCAACCCTGGAACTGTCACAACATTCATGTCACACCCGGGAAGCACGAAGGTTACAATGCGCCTTAGAAAACTTAAACGTTGCGCCGTGACTTCAGGGCCTTTCAGGAAAATGCATTTCTCTAGACAACACAGGCACGCTTTCCTTTCAAATGCTTCTTTCTCCTTTTTTTGCCCCAAATCTCCACGAGGTCAAAACTGCCATTCAAGTCCCAGCGGTGGCGAGGAAACTAGAAACTTTCCTCTGAGCCCATCTATTTGGAGATGCTGTTGATCCCTCGCCGGAGTCCCCGGGCTGGGCTGGGCTCCGGCGGGCAGGGCGGCAGCCGCAGGCCCCTCAGCCCAGCCCGGACCCGGCCAGCCTACCAGTTGCTACTCTTCTCCAGCCGAGGGATCCCGCCTCGCCCGCCCTGGCGAGCCCCGGCACTCCTGCTCCTCCCGGTTCTCTTCCTCGGGCAAATCTCCTCCGCCCTGCCTGCCTCGACTTCTCTCTACCATGCAAGGAGAAGGGGGGGGGGACGGGACCCTGCCGGACTCAGGTGGGACTTACGTGGTGGCAGAAGGGAAGGGCCCGTCGGCGGAGAGGTTTATCACCAAGGACTGCAAAAGGGTCAGGGTGAAAAAGAGCCACCAGCCAGCAGCCATCTTCCTGATCGAAGATCGATGCCCCCTTGCCCACAAGTGCCGGAGAAAAGGAGGAGGAGGAGGAGGAGGAGGACAGAATAATAATAATGTTGATGATGATGATGATGATGATGATAGTGGAGAAGTTAAAACAATAAGAATCGGGGCGAGCACGGGAGGAATAAGACTAATCAATCAATCTCCCTCTCTCTCTCTCTCTCTCCTCTTCTGCGCGAAGCCACAGGCAGCTTCCGAGAAGAAGCAGGCAGCGGCTCCTCGGGGGCGGAGAGGCGGAGGGAAGCGGCCGCGCTGGGCGGGTGGAGGCGGGAAGCGGGAGACGCAGCCAGAGGCGGGCGGGCGGGCGGGCGAGCCAGGCTCTCGCTACTCGGGCGGCGGCAGCTTCTGCGCGCTGTGATCCGCCGCCATCGGGGCTACTTTTGTAACAGATCCCGGCTCCCTCCCTCCCTCGCGCGCGCGCGCGCGCCTGGCTCTTTCGGGGTGGGTTGGTGCGTGTGCGCGCGCGTCTCCTCCCTGATTTATGCCCCCGATTGCAGGCAGGCAGGCAGGCAGCCGGGGGGGGGGAGGGCGGGAGTGGCGGAGGGAGAGCTTGGCGTCTGGGTTTCCTCCCGCGTCCGCGCTCTGGGGGCGGGGGGGGGGGAGTCCTCCTCCGAGGGAGAGGAGCTTCGCCATACAAGGGAATCAAGGGAAACTCCCCAAGTTCAGGGTCTGGTCTTCCCCGAGGTGCGAGCGGGGCGGGGCGGGGTCTGGTCCAGGCTGCAGCCGGCGTGTTAAGGTGGTGCTTCTTGTTGTTGTTCTCGTCGTCATTATCATTACCAAATATATGCCGCCCTTCGCCCGAGGATCGCAGGGCGCTTCACAACATAAAAATGCAAAAGTTTGATCCATGCCGAAGTCCGGCTGCCAGGCAGGTACTCGAGGGACTTGCGAGCGCGAGCGCCCTTCGGTTCTGGAGTTGCAATGGGTTGCCAAGGTCTTGCTGGCACTCGCTTGGCGAACATCCCCTGCAAAGGAGCGGGAGACAAAGCACGTCCGGGGGGATCTTCCAGCTCCATAGGTGAGTGCAGAAGGGGGCAGCGCCAGCTCCGTGTCACCAGCGAGGATCCCAGGGCCAAGCTACGCGTCTAAGAAGGGCTCTGGCTCCGAAACATGGGCATTTATTTGTTCGATAGCGACTGAATAGCTGTGGGTTGTTGTGTTTCCATCTGCTGAGCGAGGGGGCAAAGTGAACAGATTCTAATTAGAGGAGGGGGAAAAGATGCAGCCAGAAAGACTTTAATCTTATCGTTCAAGAGAGAGGAGGGGGCGAGTTACAGCCTGCAGAACAGAAGATTTCCCTGAGGGGTGCCACCCTTTCCCAAACACACAGCAAACCTTTACCAAGGAGAACTGCTGCAGCTTCTGGCCATTAGTCATGATCAACCCCCAACTCTCTCTCTCTTGACTTCTCCAGGGCAACCAGGTAGCTATTCAACATGCACAGAGACAGGGATGCACACACAGCCCTCCAGCCTCACTGTAGCAGCCAAGGAGAAGCTGGTGATGCCCCCATTGTTTTGTCTTGTCCCAGCATGTGCATGACAGACCCTTGATGTAAGGGCTATGACATTTCATTTCTTTCATTTATTTATTACTTACATTTATTACATACATTTTTAGTGCCTGGTTGTTGTGATCAGAGTGACATTCCTTTTGCTGACCAGCCCTGGTTATTATCCTGGCAAAAGGGTATGGCTGGGTTTGGGTTGGGCCTTAAAACCTTTTCAGAGAGAAGTCTGAGAACTCTGATTGCCGGCACAGATTGCTGCCCTCCTGCCCATGGAGCTATTAGCAGGGATAGGCAATGCCCTGCCCTCCAGACACTGCTGGACTCCAACCCCCGACATCCCTGACCATTGGCCATGCTGTCTGGGAGTGATGGGAGTTGGAGCCCAAGAACATCTGTAAGGGACCACATTGCCTACTCCTGAGCATTACTTATACCAGTGTTTTGCAAACTTGGGTTTCCAGCTGTTGTTGAACTACCACTCCCATCATCCCTGACTACTGGCCCTGCTAGCTAGGAATGTTGGGAGCTGGAGTCCAGCAACTCCTAGGGACCCAAATTTCATAAATGCTGTTCTATACTGAGGAGAAGAGCTGTGGACTCGTCCTGGCTAAATGCATAGGGAAAGGTACTGGAGAAGTTTGTGATGTCACTTTATTGTTCCTGCGGTTACTGTATGTTGGTTAGTGCATTGACTCATGGGAGCATTGTTATCGACACTGAGATTGCTCTGTGTCATCATAGTTACTAAATAAATACACTATGGGAATGGCTGTCTTTGTTGCTGTGCTGCCTTTTTTGTATTGCTATACAGTGGTACCTCGGGTTAAGAACTTAATTCATCCTGAAGGTCCGTTCTTAACCTGAAACTGTTCTTAACCTGAAGCACCACTTTAGCTAATGGGGCCTCCCGCTGCCGCCACACAGCCGCTGAGTGATTTCTGTTCTCATCCTGAAGCAAAGTTCTTAACCCAAGGTAATATTTCTGGGTAGTGGAGTCTGTAACCTGAAGCGTCTGTAACCTGAAGCGTCTGTAACCCGAGGTACCACTGTATTACTGTGCTTCTGAAGAAGCGGAGAATACAAACTTGTTACAGTATACCAGAGTAAGATCCATTCCTGCTATAGGATGGTCTTGCATGTTTATTAAATGATGCTCTGTAAAGGCAGGCCCCGGTGGAATTCTCTCCAGGGACCCTGGTGTTTGGCAAATGAGCAACAAACTGTGAATTCTGTTTTGAAGCAAAATCCCTCCTGGAGCGCAATCCTATACATGTCTACTCAGGAGCAGATCCAATCAAGTTCAAGGGGCTTATTCCCACTTACATGTGTTGCTGCTGCCTAAAGATTCAAGCTCTGACTCTAAGGAAGAACTCCAGATCTTTGACTTTGGGGCTTGATTTGACCTGAACTACGTATATTTCATGCTATTTTAAATATGGAACATGTTTCTCATTGTAAAGATACGAACATCTGGTTCTCCAGATCTTATTAGTGTACTGCTTCCATTATTCCAGACCACTGGCCATGCCAGCTGGAGCAAAGAGGAGCTGGAGTCCAGCTACATTTTAGAAGCTACAGGTTGCCCATTCCTGCTTTATAATAACGTGGTTACTAACACAAGACTATAAATGCCTACTCAGAAATAAGCCCCATAGAGTTCAGTAGGGCTTACACCCAGGTAAATGTGCATAGGATTGCAACCTAAGTCACCTAGTAGTTCTTAACAGAAGTGAAGTTTGAACAGGGGATTTGGGGCTATCATCGCTCCATCTTTTTCCTGTGATGCTACATTGCTGGTCCAGCCAGTAAAACTATCAAGTAACTAGTGTTGTGATCTGAGAAGCCAGGACGCCCTAGACTCTGCCAAGCTTCACTCATGAGCTGACAAATTCTGTTATGCTCCATCCTGGACCTACAAGGCTCTGTTCCATCTCTGCTCCTCACCTGCCAGGCTCTTGGCTTGGCTCCATCCTCTACTTCAGTCCAGAGGACCAGTATATTTAATCAAAAGTGTGCAACCCCAACATAGAATATATTCAATAACAGGCACTGCACTGACAGTTATTGGTGCCCAAAAGCTGTTTCAGGGGCACCTCAGGCCCCCTGGAATCTGCCCGGTGGTGGGGCTGGCCCTGCACTCTGGCCAAAGCCATGAAAACAAAGATTGAAGAGTGGGTTTCAGGCTCCAAGTATCAATCCCATAGTACAAGGCAGGCAAAAATAAAAGTGCCTCCCAGCTCCCTGTGTAATCATATTTCATCTTTGTCTCTAATCCATAAAATTTTCATTCTTAAGTGCTTAAAAGCACCACTTATTACAGAGAAGATGCAGCTTTGTGGCCGAGCGTATGTTTTATTATATGCAGCAGGATCAATTCCCCACATCTCCAGTTAAGCGCCCTGTGGAAGCGAGGCAGTGAAATTATTCCGACTCCAAAGAGTCCGCAAACAGGCCGTGTTTACAGTGCTGGGCTAGATGGGCCGTTACACTGCCGTTACAAGATATGGAGTCCAGGCTTCCTCAGCCTCGGCCCTCCAGATGTTTTTGGCCTACAACTCCCCTGATCCCTAGCTAGCAGGACCAGCGGTCAGGGATGATGGGAATTGTAGTCTCAAAACATCTGGAGGGCCGAAGTTGAGGAAGCCTGATATAGTCTGTAACCACAGTTAACATCCTGTTTCATAGAATTGGATATGAGCAGGTTTGGGAGGCAGCTTCCTATAAAAGATATAAAGAAGACCATGCACCTAATAAAATAAATGGGGTTTGTTCATTCTATTTATTTTTATTAACAAATTTGTATACTGCGGTATATCCATTTAAATATCCATTTAAAAATACTAATATATGTTATAAAATATCAGTAAACTTTAAAAGCAAGTTAACATAAAATTCATAATTCATAATTAATTGACATGCAAAATATTGAGATAAAATACAAACTTATTTTCATTAATATAATTTTGCTATTATAGTTTTTCTTGTTTCTTTGTTTTATTTCATTTTGAGTTTGAATGGGATATGCTTAAATGCTGTCTTTCACATTTTGTTTGTTCTGTTTCACTTTTAAAAAGAGCATCCTTCACCATTTACATATGCAAATAGCCTTTCTACATTTCCCCCTTTGCTTGATTAGTTCAAGATTGTGTCAGTCCTAATGTAAATATGAGCAACTGATCCAAATATTCTGGAATGTCTGTTGCACTGTGCCCTGCATTTAATCCTGTATGAGGTTTGGCAAAAATGTCAAGTTTTGCTCTCAAAATTTGATTGGTGGTGGTGGGGATAAATCTCACATCTTACCAGTTTTAGGGAAACTACTTCAAACATTTACTGTATTTGTCAGAGTCAATATAGGACATTGCATTTGTCATACAATTCATTGATTTTTTTTTAAAATAAAAAAAAACGGATACTGTTAAAAATTCAGATTAAGGGTATAGATTAGAATTTTTGCAAGTGTTTTTGAGAAGTGCGTTCCCCTGCATTAGTTTCAGCTCTAATTGAAGTGTAATTTTCTAGATATTGTATGTGAAATAATTGTATGGAACTCCTTTTAAATAAACATAAGTCATAAACTACACTTAATTTATAGCTACTCATATAACCAATATTTATATGGTTGTGCTTACTGCCATATTTCCTTGCACTGACACCACAAGCAGTGTCACCCCAACAATGGAAAGTGTCAAACTTTCACAAAGGGTATCATAAGTCTAATTATAATCTGGTTAGCATGGCTATATGAATAGGCACCTAACTACTAACTTACAGAAGCTACAGCTCAAGAGATGGGACAGCTCCCAGGTCATCATCCCCCCCCCCCCAGCACACCGTGTTTTAAATTGTAGCATGTAGGCTGATAAAATGATAGCTTTCATTTTTCTCAACATTAATTATATGCCACACAGGAGCTCATACTTGAAGGCATTGCTACAAAAACACTTGCAGTTGGAGCCTGCCTGATACCGCTCATTACAAGGAATTTTAAGTTGCTTATAACTCCGCTCCACTTAAATGCATCTTTGAAAGGTAACCCTTGAGAATATATGGATGCTATTTTGTATCCTCTGTAATTCTATCTGATTACCATCAGCATTAGAGCCTTGCCTCTTCTATACTTTCTTCTTCAAATGAAATATCTGGGTTTTCTCCAGTTGATATTTGCTTATCATTTCCATTCCAATTTATTAAATGAGTTTGATTCTTCTCTGTTCTCCCCAAGACATCTGTGCAAGTTGCATTCGCTATCATTTTATTGTGCAGGATGTGTAGCTGTTCAGAACAGACTTGTTTCATTGTGGAAAATGATTTTGTATTTTGTGTTATCATTGCTTCTGAAATGCATAGTCTGCCCTGCAGTGGCCCCTCTGCATTCCTAAAACAATATGGTGTCCCAATATGGTGTTCTTTTGCAATGATCAATATAAATAATAAAATGTAGAAGTAAAAATAAAAACACCTTGAATGATTTCTTTCTTTCCAGGAACAGTGCAATCCTGTGGATACCACTCCAAAAAGGATTTTATTTTAGAATGACACCATGCTCCTATCCATCATTTCCCCTTTAGAATATGAAAATATATCATTCTTCTCTCTCCTAAATAATCGGGCCTTCTTTTCCTGAACCAATGGCAAGTTTTCAGGGGGACTGAAAGCAATATATAGATTGCTATATATATATATGTAAAGGGACCCCTGACCATTAGGTCCAGTCGTGGCTGACTCTGGGGTTGCAGTGCTCATCTCACTTTACTGGCCGAGGGAGCCTGCGTTTGTCCGCAGACAGCTTCTGGGTCATGTGGTCAGCATGAACTTTTGTTTGTTTGTTTGTTTGTTTACTGTATTTATTTATTTATTTATTTAAATTATTACTGCCCGTGGTTTATAACACAACAAAACTTTATTTTTGGTTTCATATTCAAATAAATAATAAACTATTGAGTGAAGAAAACCTTAGCTTGCAGCATCTAAAATTTTAGCTTAGTTTAGCTTGTTCTATGTTAGCTTAGCTTGCACTCTAGGTTTTGGCTACCATTAAAAAAAAAAAACCCTTATCATTCTAAGACCTGCTTTTCAATCTAGCCATTTCCCAAAAGTTTACAGGCTACGTCAAGACAATTGGCCTCTTACAGGTAAGCGTGGGTGTGAGATCTGATGCATGTCACTTTAAGAGAGTTAGAAGTGGGTGGGAGGGCATTTTTAAAGAATCGGATGCCATGTTTTAGACATACTTACAATTCATGCTTAGCTAAAGGCATGATTCCCACCTTGTTGTTTGCAAATTCCAGTATACAAGAATTTATGCTTGCTTTAAACTTCAGCACTCTAACAGTCTGGACCTGACTTACACACTGAGATCTCAGTCAGAGGCATCGCCTTGGTCTGTGTGATGGGTAATCGCGAGAGAGAGAGAGAGAGAGAGAGAGAGAGAGAGAGAGAGATCATTCTCTCTGGTGGATCTACACCCTTGAAAATCTCCCCCGCCTCTCTGCTGTGGCAGGCAGTTATGTGTCAGCCTTTCCAGAAGGCCTTAAAAACTCATTTATTCCAATTGGCCTTCCCTGAGTAATTTTTGGTCCCAGTTGCTGAATGGTTGCTGAAATATTTTTATGTTAGAACTTTGTAAATCTGTTTTATCCTTAGTTTTAGTAATTAGATAGATGGATAGATGATAGATTTATAAAAGATAGATAGATAGTAAGCTGCTCTGGACAGGCTTTGCCTGGAGAAATGACATATAAATGTTTTAAAATAAAATAATTTCTCTTGTAAATTATAACTCATATAATGTTGGCATCTTATTCTAAACTCCGTCTTTGGTTTCTCATCGGCTATACTCCTGCCTAAACAGAGGTTGGACTCTTCTTTGTAACAACGTTAATCACTCTTGTTTATTTTCTCAGGCTTTCCAGATGGATTTATTAAGCAATGGCCAACTATCAAGTCATTGTTAACTCTACAGGACTGACTTCTTCCTACTTACCCTTTCGGGTAGCATAAATAACTAACTGTCCAAGTTCAAGGCTAGGCATTATCTTCCAGAAGTGATTTAGACAGAGGTGCCCACAATTCTCAGCTGTTTGTTTTTCTCCTTTCTCCTCATTTACTTCTCCTTTGACCTTTCTTGGCCTTCTCACCTTTCCTTTGATCCCATCTGAAAAAGCTTCAGGAGACACTTGTTAACATATGTCAAAGTGGACAAAAAGTTAAGGAGAAAAAAGGCGTCCCAAAAGAAAGGATGAACTGCCTAATAGACAGGAAATGACAAAAACAAAGATTAAGAAGGGAAACTAAGAACAAAGGGAGAAAAGAGATAAAAGCAAGAACTAGAATTAACCAAAGTGAAGTGAAGCAAGGAAAGAAGGAACAAAGGAAGGTTAAGACTGAGGCCCAGCTATAGAGGGGTCATCCGTGCAACAGAGATGTGTTCGTTCAATAAAGTACTTAGCTGTAATAATATGCAGTTGACTTACGAGAGAAAAAGATGATAAGAGGAGTGAGAATAACAGGAGAAAAATGAAGGCCAATTTGGTTCTGTTACTCAAATGCATGTTCTCAGATAGAAGGCATTTTGCACATGCTCAAAGGTACTTTATTCTTGGATCACTTTACAAACTTTTGCAAAACATTGTGTTCTGCCTTGAATAAAGGCATTCTGCCCGTGTTCTGAGACTCTAGAAAACCAAAAAAAATACAATAAAGCCTCAATACACTTGTATTTTTGAAATGAGCTACTAATTATTATAAAAATGAGTGACAACATTTGGGAAAGGTAGTCTTTTTTTAAAAAAAAACTTTAAACAATGACTATGACTTCAGGCTGTAGAAAATCAACTGAAAGTTTTGGTTGTTTAATCTGCCAGTTGAAACTTATAACCCTAATTTTTGCTTTTGGTGGGCAATGAATAATTTTCATGATGGTTACCCAATTTTCTTTGGCATATTGTAACTGAGTATTAAGCCTACAGTATAATAGGGGGAACACACTTAAATAAGGCAGCTATTATTTGCCATTGCTTTAACTTAATTGTATTGTGAGTGAAAATGTGACCCTTCAGCACTTACCACCATTATTTCCCAAGAACCTCATGGCACTTCTTTTTTTTTTTTTTTTAATAATATTTATTACTTTTCCAACAATTTAAACATTACAAAAAAAGAATAAACAATACAATACAATACAAAAACAATACATAACACTAACACATTAAACTAACAAAACAAAACAAAAACAATTTAAAACACATCAAACAGTTTCAATATCTTATCTTTCATTCACTTATTTCAGTGACCTCCTCACACCTCCCTTTTTGTATTCCACTTCTGTTAGTTGTTTCAGCAATTCCTTTCCATCTCCCTCTGTTTTCTATCCTATAATAATCTTAACACATTTTAACCTTATTTTTTCCCTTTAATTCTCTATTAATCTATTTATACTTAATTCCTTATAACATTTCTACTAAAGCCATATAACTTTATTCCAACATTTTTCTAACATTCATTAATTTTGCAGTATTTCTGTAAATAGTCTTTAAATTTTTTCCAGTCTTCTTCCACCGACTCTTCTCCCTGGTCTCGGATTCTGCCAGTCATTTCCGCCAATTCCATATAGTCCATCAACTTCATCTGCCATTCTTCCCGGGTGGGTAAATCTTGTGTCTTCCAATACTTCGCAATGAGTTTTCTTGCTGCTGTAGTTGCATACATAAAAAAAGTTCTATCCTTCTTTGGCACCAATTGGCCAACCATGCCCAGGAGAAAGGCCTCTGGTTTCTTTAGGAAGGTATATTTGAATACCTTTTTCATTTCATTATAAATCATCTCCCAGAATGTCTTAATCCTCATGGCTCTTCTTAACCACAACAAGGGTGACAAATGATATTTGATATTCTGTTTCACTATGTGAACACACAGTGAGAGTAAGTAGCAGAATGCTGGCTTCTTTCCTGAACACCGAATAGCAAAGGGAGGGGTCATAGCTCAGTGGTATAGGGTATATACAGTATTTTGCACTCAGAAGGTCCCAGATTCAGCCCCCCCCGTGTCCTGGAATAACAGGGCTGGAATGTTCCCTCTCTGAAACAGTGCAAAGCCGCTGCTGCTCAGTGCAATGGTGCCCAGTTAAATTGACCGACAGTCTTACTTGGTACAACACAGCTTCCCACGGTCCTCTATTGAGAACATAAGAAGAGTTTGGCTGTTGGGCCAGACCAAACAAGGCCTACTCAAGCCAGCATCTTGTTTTCACAGTGGCCAAGCAGATGCCAGGGGGGCAAGTCTCCAAGCAGGACCTGAGGGCAGCTGAGCTTTCTTGTAATCCCCAGTGAGTGGCATTCAGATGCACACTGCATCCAAATACAGTAGGTCAGGCACATCCAACAGGTAGATTGTGATCTACCGGTAGATCACTGGATGTCTGTGGTAGATCACTGGTAGATCACTGGCTCCCCCCCCAAAAAAAGCTAAACAACTTTGGCTCCCCTGAAAAAACTCAACATTTTTGCCCTGTACTCCCAAAAAACGGGGCTTTCCTCCTCCCTAAAAACAACCTTTGCCTGAACCCCAAAAAGAGGGTAGGTCACTGCCAGTTTTTAACTCTGTGAGTAGATCGCAGTCTCTTGGGTGTTGGCCACCCCTGCAGTAGGTGATACGGCCATTAACATCATTAGTCACTGACAGCCTGATCTTCCATCAACTTAACTGATTCGTTTCCAAAACCAGCCAAGTGAGGTAGCCCTACAGGGGTTTCCCAAATGCCATGTTGCAGGACTACATGCCATGGAAAAGAAATTATGAGTGAGATGTTTTTATCTGGTATGGGTGTGAGAATCTAGAGCAGGGAAGGACACAGAAAGTGGTTGACTTAAGAGGAGACAGCAGCCATTAAGGGGAACATCAGAAGGAGAGAGCACAATGAAGTGAAATACAAATGAAAGATGACTTAATTTGTGTGTCTGGGATGAGCGCTGATGCTAAAGAAGGGCTATTAGTGCTTAAGCTTTTTTTCTTTTTCATTTTGATATTAAAAGCACTACTGAAAGTCAATGAGAGATGTGTGATCTTTGGAGGGAGTCTGCATATTAATGTGCAAGAGCCATCTTCAAGAAGCATAGGAAGAAGCGAGTTTAACACAAAGTCTGGAACCCTTGATTTAAAACCAAACACAGGAACAGCCTCCAACCGAAAGTTCTCCTTGAGCTAATTGAAACAGAATGTTCAAAGATGTGTCTGAATATTTTTAATACATGGTTTATAAGCTCAGTAACTCAATATGTAATTGTACCCAGCCTGCCAAGTGGAATTGCCAAGTATTAGGTGAACCAGGGGAAATATTGCACTGCAAAAAAATAAAAATAAAATAAAAATAGATCAGTCATAGGCTCCTGAATGTGTGGGTGGAATTTGAAAGCAACAATAGGATAACAGTGCAGTTTCAGTGAGTGGGGGTAGGAAATTCATGCTTCAAATATAGCCAGTACATCTGTTTACTAACTATTTTTACCTACAGCTGCAAATATCTGAAATTTCAGAGATTTTTTTACTTATCTAAGACAATTTTTAGCCTCTATAAATAACTCCCAACTTCTTCTTTTTTCATAGATGAAGTGGTAACAATTTGCTTTATTCCCTCCCACTGCTGCCATAAAAATGGCCTTTGAAACTCTCAGATCACCTGATGGGTTGCTAAATTATTGTTTCATTTTTATACAAGTGGTTGTGGCTCATTTCTGACCCCTGAAAACAGAGGTTATAATGGGAACACTCAGGGACTTTAAAGCTATTGCCTCTGCTGCTCTTTCTGCTTATGGCTGCCATAGATTTGAATGCTCCATCTACTTTTGCCATGTAATTTCACTGCGGGAAGTGGGGGAGTTACTGTTTCAATATTTCATAATAACAGTTTAGGCATTGTTCCACATTGGTTATACATACTAGAAGGAAAACCTAAAGACAGAGTGGAAGGGGATTTCCAATCCTAGGTCCACATTCCAGTCTGAGGGCCCCATGCCAATGGTGGGTGTGGCCAAAGGCAAAAGTGGGAGGAGCCATGAATGTTGACTAGTTTGTACACATACTCACAGGCCCCTCTTTATCCTCTAACCAGCAGGACCAGTGAGAGGTGAGGCCTGGAGGGTGTTCTGAAGGCCAAGCAGAGAAGCCTGGAGGACCACAACTGGCTTGAGTTTCCCCACCACTGACCAAAAATACCAATGCAAGACATTAGGATATCAAACTCATAGCATTGGTTTCTCAGCTTTTGTGCTATATTGGGGTGGTTTCACAGGACCTCAAATGTTCCTATGGACTGCACCCAACAGCAGCTGTGCCACAGTGAAAAGCTCGCACAAGTCATGGCTGCTGATTTTCACACATCTCTGCTACCCACTTAAGTCCCAAGTTCCTGGAAAAGCTACAGCAAAGAACTGGGGGCCTCCTGGAGCAGAAAGGGATATGCTGTACAGAGGGCTGCACTGGTTATGAAAATTTGATGCCCCAACATGTGAAACAATGTGCTTTCCACTAAAGAACTTTTCACTTTCTCCCTTTTTAAAAAAAAGTTTTTTAGTATTTTGCAAAGTAGCAAACAAGAAAACTGAACATCACAAAAAATCAAACAAGGTTATACTCAACACAGACAATTTTCTCCTCATTCACATTGTGAGGTATTTTTCCCTTCTTCATGAAGCTGAGTAAGACCAGGGGAGGACTCTCTGGTAATCTTTTGTAATAGGACGCCCTGAGTGAGGACAAAAATTGGTAACCCCAAAGGGATATTTTCTCTCTCCCTTTTAAAGAAATAAATAAATAAGATAGGATTTTATTCCTGGATGGATCTTTTCAGTTATGGATCTTCTCAATTTTGCACCCCCTCAGCTCAGCGTCCTGTGAGGGGAAGCCACCCACACCGCCCTAAATCCATCACTGAGAAGAGGGCACTGACATACCGCTGTTATCATAGAAACTCACTGTACCAAGGTATTCTTCCAAAATGACTCCTGCACTTTAGCAGCCTGAATGCCCTGTACACTCATGTTTACAAAAATATGAATGAAAATCAGACAAATGGATCGGGAGCAACTTAACTCCTTAAAATCATAGAATCTTAGAGTTGGAAGGGACCCAAGAGAATCTCAGAAAAGTTTGTTAGTATGTGTAATTTTTTTTCCAGCCAGCACCATAATTGGGAAGCCCAACTTTGCAACCATAGCTCAGAAATTATTTTCCCAAGACTTGGAAATTTCCATTCTGGCTGCTATGAAGAGGGAAATTATAAAGTCTTTCTAGGGCATCTCAAATGCATCTGAGGACCAGTTCCTGGATCTGAGATATCTGAGAGAGGACCTTCTCTGATGTGCATCCTCTTCCACAGTCTCTCTGTCAGGAGCCAGAGTCAGGAGTAGGTCAGCAATAAAAAACACTAGTGTCGGGGTGGATCTAAAAGCTATAAATAAGTTAGAAATTAGATCGTTATAACAAAAGAAAAAATCTGTATGGAAAATTGTGTTTTTAAATTTCCTGCTATCTGGTGCCATCTGGTGTTGCATTCAAATCACTGTTTCTTTACTAATGTAGTTGAGTCCTCAGTGAAAACTCTATATTCAAAGAAAGCAAAACAGCACAGGTCTCTTGATCACAGCAACTCTGGCTAATGAGACAGTTGCGGGAACTGAAGGCACCCCTCTCCCAGTTCCTTCCCCAGAGGCCTAAGACTCTATCATCTTGCCTCTCGTTGTTCCTCCCTCTTCATTCCTCTCCATGGACTGGGAGACCAGGGGGAGGGAGCTGGCCGCAGCAAGAGGGGGAGACACTCTCGACTCTTCAGCAGCCAGCCTCATCTCTGTCTCCTGGCCCCTCTCCCCTCCTGCCTCAGAGTCTAGACTGCCCTCTGCCACACCCTCTTCCTGCTCACTAAACCCTGATGCCTCTTCAGCTTCCAACACCTCCTTCTCTTCCTCGTCTGCTCCCTCTTCTGCCTTGGACCACTCATCGCCATCCCACCACCAATCCCTGGGCTCTGGGCTTCTTCCCCTGGGGGTTCCCATGGAGGTGCCTCCCACCACTTCTCCGTATCCAGCCAGTCAATGACAGTATCTCAGATGCACCTGAAGACCAGTGTCTGGGTCTGAGAAATTTGAGGGAGTGCCTTCTCTGATGTGCATCCTCTTTCACACTGAGATAGTGCCAGCTACTGAAAAAGTAGTGATTATCACTGGGATAGCTTTTTCTGCTATGACCCTGACATTTGGACATGACCTCACACAAGAAAATTACCAAGTCCAGGAGCCTGGCCACTTTAAGCAGACTTTTAAAACTTCTTTAAAAAAAGAAAAAAGCTTTGAGCTGCTGTACATGCTAGTGAAAACTCGTTGCCAATGGTGTCCAAACTTCTCATTCTCTGTGTTTGTTGGTGTCTGATAGTTATTTTATTGGTTCATCTTCTCACTCACCTAAGAATATTTTATTAAAGGCAGTATTAAAGGCAAGTGTTTTTTAATAGAAACTGATTGGAAGCTCCTTCTGTCTTTTTCTGCAAAGGACACTTAGCTTAAAGTACATCTGTTTGTGACTTCACTGGATGTATAGACACAGAAAAAAGCAATTGGGAATTTACTGACTCTACCATCATGGCCTGCTGGAGGTCAGCTACATTACCCTACAAAGAGCTGATTGCACAATGCAAAAAGTGTCTCCTTCCTTGTAAATCTAATAGTTCACTCTGTCAGGTTCATCTTGTAGCATGACCCCAGCCCCTTGATTTGTAATTTTCTTCATAGAAATGCCTTTTACATACCACATCCATATTTCATCTTGACATGTTTATTACTGATAATTTTCATTCAGTTTAGGAATAGACGTTATTCATTAATGGCTGTGCAATTCCCTGCAAAGCAAACGGCTAGAAGCAACTTCTGATGTGACCATAAATACTTGTTGAGGTAGTTGAATACCACCCTGTGTTCATTCCACATTTTCCTCAGAGTAGACCCATTAAAATTAATTGACGTAACTTAATCATAGTCATTATTTTCAGTATATCTGCATTAATTTTAGTGCGTTTGCCCAGGGTTTGCAAACTATTCTAGCAGCATTCTGGTATCACAGAACCAATTGCTTTGAAATAAAATATGCTCTTAGAAACATAGCAAGCTATTTGGGAGATGGGGTACGGAAGCAATTTGACTAAGTTCACATTTAAAGCCAACCCCCCCCCCCCAATTTGCACTTTCCAAAACAATATGCAAACTGAAACAAAGCCACTCTTTGAAATTCACACATCTCCAAATTTTGTGATTTGCAGCTGTCCAGTCAAATAATGCATAGAAAAAGAATCACATATTATAGTAAAATGTACAAAAAATGCACATATTGGTTAAAATCAATGCATATGCAAATGGTATTAGTACTTCTCCGAAAGATCAGACTTTTTGCAATAAGGAAAGTGACAGGAAACTGTGCTGGAAAGTGTGGGATACCACTTGCATGACACAATATCATCTAACCTCCCTGCAGACAAATCAGAATGAATGCTCAGCAAGTATCCAATGTTGCACAATCTCCCTACAAACACTTCAGGGTGGATGCTCACTAAACAGGTTGTCTGGCAGTGAACAGTCTTCAAGAGCCCTTCATTACCTTAAGGTCTGGGTTGGTCACCTTTTTGACTTATCATTCTATGTGTTGTGTATCAGTTATATTCTAGTTATTCAGATGTTGGGATTTCAGAAAATATTGGAATTATTTGTGGTAATTCACAGGTTGGTGAGTAGGAAAAAAAAATCCATCATAAGCACAGCAAAAAAAACAACAACAAAAAACAGCAGAAAGTTTAGAGAAGAGAAAATTAAGAAGCAACACCCTTGCTCTGTCAAAACCTTGCCCTCTGTGAAGAATCCAGTACCTCCTACTGCCAATTGTTATAACATTTCAAAAGAAAAATAGATTCCAATAGAACTGTGAGGCTAGAGAGCAAAAGGGAGCATTTGCTTAGCAAATCGGCATGTATTTCTTCTTTCTCTGAGTGGCAGCTGTGTTGGCCTGTGCAATGTGTCTTAGCAATTTTATTTTCTTCTTTTGACAATGGCTGCTACCCTTATAATCCTTTGCAGCTTCGATGGCTTTTTAAGGCCTGGTGTGTAAATTAATAAAAAAGCAATTCCAAATGTGATGTGCCGTGTAACTCTCACAAGAATGAAAAGCAAAGCTTGCAAATACTTAGCTGACAAATCTCTGGATTATTTCTTAATAACAGATACCTCAACTAGTCACTATTTGTGGTTTGGCATATTTCTTGGCATTTAATGTATGCTCTCTCTCTCTTTCCCGCTCTCTCTATATATAATGCCTGCAGTTGCCTTGCTTTATTCCATTTTGAAATTGACTTTTGGAGCAACTGTCACAATGCATCAAGCTGCATTTGTCTTTCAGCTTTGACTCTGCTCAGTGTAAGGAAGAAAGGTAATGGCAACAGGTGGACGGGTGCCTTCCATGATGAAAGAGCCATGACAAAGACTTGCCTTGAGAACAGCTGCCTGATGTATTAGATTAAATCATATTAAGTCATATTAAATGTATTGAATTAGATTACATTGGGCTGAGGAACTTGTGAATCTGTGCATGGTGTTGGACTCTACCTCCCATCAGCCCTGGTCAGCAATGGGGGTTGCATCCAGTGATGTCTGAAGGGCCTCAGGTTTCCCACCCAGGGTTACATGAAACTAAGGAGCAGTGAGAAATGTTTGGGTGTGTGCAGCAGGGAAAGGCTACTGACTCTGTTGAGATTCACTATAATCTATTGGACAGAGAGGCTTCGGTTCCAATTTGACAGAGATACCTCGATTCCAATTCAATAAGCAAAATGTCGTTGACCTTGGTCCTCTATCTGAAAAATTGATTGTAATATCACATTATTTTTGCAAACCATGTTATTGTAGGGGAAGTGCTACAAATATGCATTGGCATTAAGCAGATTTTCATCGTGACCTCAGATGCAGAAAGATGTGTTTGTTTCAGAAGCGTTTATATACTGCCCATAATCACATGAAAGTTGAGGGTGGGGTACAAATCATAAAAACAAGCAATCCCATAAACCACAAGCGGAACATAAAGGCAACAGATAACACATCAGGTGGACTAATGACACACAAAAAGCCTGGGAAAATAGGGATGAGGAAGCTGTGGCTCTCCAGACAAGGCTGGACTTAGGAGGAGGCAGAGGGGTGCAGCTGAGGGAGGCAGAGGGTGGCAGTTGCTGAGGTTCAGGGAGGGCACAGAGCTGTGTGTGCCATGTGGCTTGCCCTATACTCCCCGCTGCTAGCCTTTGCCCTCAGGTGTAGTGGAAGACAGTGTTCTTTCACCAATATTGGTGTAAGAGTCAACTGCCAGCCCAGTTGGCTTCTGTATGTGCCTTGGAATAGTGTGTCTTCTTGTCCTTCTCCTCAGGCAGCCAATGTCTTGTTGGACTCTCATCATTCCTGATCATTGGCCATACTGGCTGAGGATGATGGAAGCCGGGGCTCCTGCACTGCTGCTGTCCTTTTGTCCTAAGAGGGGTTTGCCACCTGTTCTTCATTCTAGCACACAGTAGCTGTTTCTGCCCCATAGAACAGACACCCCTCCATGTTAATAGCAGCAAAGGCCATGGGGATAATTTGCGTTGGGGAGATCCTGGCAAGCTCCTGGTATAAGAACAGATTTGCACATCTCAATACTGGGAGATACACAAAAAGTCTGTATTAGAAAAGTCAAGGTGGTGCACTTTGGTGTGCAGGAAAAAGAAAGTTAATAGGATACTGGGTGGGTGCTGTAGTGCAGTTGAAGGGAACAGGACCGAGCAATTAAAGAAGTTAAGATACAGGTGGAATCCGTAATTCCTTGTTCAAGGAATAGAATAATAAACCTTTCAAAATTTACATTTTGTTTTTATTTCTTATTCTGCCATCTAGTGGTTTCTGTCTGTAAGCTGTGTTACTATTATAACCATATAAACTTTAATATTTGCCAAGCCAGGGAAATGCTTTTACTTAGTGCCACACCATATAAGGTTCCAAATATAACTTGCTGTTTTGTTTTGTCTTAATTATTATCATTGATCTGACAAAGGTCATTGTGAAGAGGGTAGAGAAACCATTTTATGGTGTGGCAGTCTCTCTCACTGGTCAGGTTGAAAAGCCATCTATCGGTGATATACTAGCCTTTTACTGCATCTGCTGCGATGTTCTGAGTGCTGGTTACGACCTATAAAGCCCTATATGGATAAGGCCCAGGCTATCAGAAAGATTGTATTCTCCCATACAATCCTGCCTGGGCTCTGAGATCTTCAGGGGAGACCTTTCTCTCAGTCTTGCCACCCTTACAGCCATGTTTGGTGAGGACGCAGGAGAGGGCCTTCTTGGTGGCTGCTCCCAGACTTTAGAAGTCCCTTCCTAGAGAGGCTAGATTGGCTCTGTTCTTGTTGTTCTTCCACCGGCAAGTAATGACTGGTTTATTCCTGTAGACTTTGGGGAACTGGCTACTTTTAACAGGGCTGCGCTATTTTTACCACTATATTTTAATATATTTTTATATTGTTTCAATTTTATTATAGTTTAATTACTTTTTAGCTATAATTATGTAAATGTTAATGTTTTATATGTTTTTAGCTTTCTCTGTTTTATTTGTGTCTCCTTGAATCCCAGTTATTGAAGAGAGATGGGACGCGAAGGAACAAGAGAAGGAGAGACCGTGGACTGTTTCCTCCCCTTGCTGCCAGATCACGTTTTGGACCTAGGCAGATTCTCTGTGCTTGGCAGTGGCTTGTGGGTTCTATGCGGTACCTTGAATCCCACCCTCTAGGCCCTGGGAGCACCCCCTGGAACACAACAGATTCTAAGAGGGAAATAAACTGGGTAAATCTTTTGAGTTCAGACTTAAAATGGCCTGGTTGCCCTATCAACAGAAACCTTACAATGTTACAAAGTTATGATTCTGTGGTGCATCCAAAAAGCCCAATCATAAAGCAAATAAATGAGTCAATTGCATGAACAATTCAATCAATTTCATAACAAATAATAAACAGGTATGTATGTATGTATGTATAAATAAATAAATAAGAACATATATATCTTGATCTTTGCATTTTGTAGATTTTTTTCCTTCTGAATTAGAACAGTAAAAAGCTAAGTAAATGCCCTTGTAGTAATAATAAGTTAAAAATTAATAATAAGCAGAACAACATGCATGGAACAGATTGTAAGGTAACAAATAAAATATAAAATGTTAAAGCACTGCTTTCAAATATTTCATTTTCCACCAATCCAAATCATGCCAACCAAGCGTGATTGTGGAGTACTAAAAACAAGCTATACTTCTGTTGCACTTCCTTCAGGAACTAATATTATGACCACATAATAGCTGGTGCTCCACACCTAAATAGATAACAAGCTTGTACTTCTGGAAGTGGCTATTAGTGCACAGCATATCTGAAACGTACAGACAGCCTGCAAGGCATCATAGTGCACTTTTAATGAGCCCCCGCGCTGATCGAAGAAATGGGTGGTATTCAATTCACTCATGCATTGCAGATGCATAATCAATACAGCATGAAGGCAGGATAGTTATTGTCGAAATTATCCTGTTCACTTACGAACAAATCAGTGATTAACATTTAACTGTCGCCTGACATTTACAGTCCTGTTGACATTCTCCCATTTTTGTGGGGATTTTCACTCAGCCAATTTACACGTGTTTTAATGCTTCAGCTAGTGACTCTTAATCAGCCATGAATGTATTGTTTGACTGGATTACCTTGCCAGAAGGTCATGGAGGTGTGGGGCCTCACCTCTGCCACCATTTGTTTTTCAGATCACAGGTAACTGGCCAACTCTTTCCTTCTCTCAGGGCTGGCCTAAAGCATTTTGCTGCCTGCAAAGCCAACTGGGTGGGCAGCTGACTCAACCATGCTTGAATCAGATAAAATTATAGTGGGACAAATAATATAGCAGAGCTGGGGGAACTTGGGGAACATTCAGGGGAGCCACACGGCCATCCTTATCTTCCTGCCCCCCATCTCTGAGGCATGTTCAGGAGAGCCTGTGGGGCCACTCTTCCTTCTCTTGCCTGTCTTACATTCCCTTGCAGCCCATATACATCTCCTTGGAGTCCTCCAGCTCCTTCTCCTCATTGCCTCACAGACACGGCTCAGATTCCTAGTCTCCCGCCTCCCTCCGCTCTCCATTTCTGGCATGCTTACATAGAGGCGTCTGGAGGAAGCGGGAAGGTTGCCTTGGTCCCAACTACAGATCTGGCACAAGGAAGAGGTTCCCTGGCGGCTCTCCTTGTCAGTTATTAACGTGCAAGTCACTAGGGGATTTATATTGTACTGCGATTCCTTCATTGCACCTGGCTGCTCCAAAGTGTTTGGGGAAGCCTTGCTCCCTC